ATTCGAAGTCGTTTTAAAGATACAGCAGGTAAAAGAAAGAGCGGTTCGGAGCGGTGAGTTGGACAGTTAGAGACCGGGCCTATTGTGTACCGTCGGCTTTATACCTGGCCTCCCTTTTATTAATATATTTGTTTATACAAGTTTAGACACGTTTCTACAGACTTAAACAGAAATTTCTATTGTTATAATATTTTACCGAAGTTATTTTAGTCTTGGTTGAACTTCGAAGAGAGCAACAGCTACAAATTATTTTTTTTCATAATGAGTGGACGGAAAGGAAGTACGAGTGGAAGTATTCATCCTGGTTGTAGTAAAAAAAGAAAGTTTAGTGGAAACCGTTTTACCCACCAAAATGATACGGTATTTACATCAGCTTCGGCCAAAAAACTTAAAAATAACATGAACATGAATGTTCCCATCGCTTCGAATTTCGCATATTGCATTTTGGAGTTTGTTTCTGTATTTGCTGCAATCTCTGAAATAGTTATATGTAAAACTTGTAAAAGTGACGTGTCTATTTCGCGATCAAGTTTCCGAGGCCTAGGCTTTAAAATTATTTTATCGTGTGAGTGTGAAAAACAGACAGTTATAAACTCAGGCCCGTTGATCGGACATGCATTTGAGGTTAATCGTCGGTTTGTATTTGCGATGCGATTATTGGGAGTTGGTCAAGAAGGAGTAAATCTTTTCTGTAGCTTTATGGACATGTGTTCGGGTGTTGCAAATTCTACTTATACTGCACTACTGGAAAACATTCATATTGCTACATCTTCACTGTGTGATACTTTATTGGCATTCGCTGTTACGCAAGAAAAAACTATGAATGAAGAATCAGGAAAACCACAGGATGAATTGATTGTGTCAGGTGACGGTACTTGGAAGAAAAGAGGCTTTTCATCTCTGCTCGGCGTATCTACGTTGATCGGCAAGTACACTGGGAAAGTTTTAGATGTCATGGTCATGAGTAGTTTTTGTGGTGGATGTAATTTGTGGAAAAATAAAAAAAAAACAAATCCTTTAGAATACGAGATGTGGTATGAAACGCATGTAGATGAATGCACCATAAACCATTCCGGAAGTTCCGGTAAAATGGAAATAAGTGCCATCACGAAAATGTTTCTGAGGTCTGTAGAAAAATATGGCGTAAAGTATCTAACATACATTGGCGACGGTGACAGCAAAACTTTCAAGGGCATCCTAGATACTAAACCGTATGGAGATACTGCGGTAACAAAAAAGAATGTGTGGGTCACGTAGAAAAGAGGATGGGAACACGACTTCGGGCTGTTAAAAAGGATAAAACCAATAAAGGAATAGGAGGAAAAGGAGCAGGTAAACTTACTGATAAAGTTATCCAAGAAATTACAAAATTCTACGGATTAGCAATTCGACGCCATCCAGATTCGCTTGAAGATATGAGAAAGGAAGTTTGGGCAACGTACTATCACAAATGTTCTTCTGATGAAAACCCTCAGCATCAATTTTGTCCAGAAGGCGAAGACAGTTGGTGTAAATGGCGTAAGGCTGAAGCTAATAATGAACTGGACCAATTTCATCACGATAAACCACCTCTAATTCCGCAAGTCCAAGAAGCTATCAAACCGGTTTTCGAAGATTTATCGAAAGACGAATTATTAATTCGTTGTTTAGGAGCAGAGACACAAAACAATAACGAATCTTTGAATTCTTTGATTTGGACTTTCGCTCCTAAACATCTTCATTCTGGTCCCAAAGTTGTTGAAATTGCTAGCTACTTAGCAGTTATTATCTTTAATGAAGGTTTTCAAGGTATTTTAAAAGTTATGTCGATTATGGGATGCCCTGTTGGTCGTGAAGCCCAAGCGTATGTTGAGAAACGGGATGAAAAGCGAATCTTACGCTCTGAGCGGCGCGTAAGTGATGTCGTTAAACAAGCCAGGATTGACTCAAGAGCTGAACAATCTGCTTTAAAAGAGTTTCACGAGGAAGAGGAAGGAATACTCTATGGACCAGGCATCGCCGATTGAGAGTAAGTTGATATTTTAATAGTTTTTAACGGACTTGAAACTTTAAACGCGTTTTTCTCAAAACTGTGTTTTTCAAACTTTCCTCCATTGTATCTCAGAAACGGCTGGACCGAATTACTTGAAATTTACAGGGCACACTCAATATATGTAAACGCATGGAATGAACTATTATCAATCGAAAATTTTCAAAACTTCGATTTTTTTATAGCAAAAAACAAAAAAAAAAAACGCCTAATTTGCAACTTTTATTTCAAATGTCTATCAAAAATCCAATTTTTTTTATATTCATTTGATTATAGGTCATTCCGTGCTTTTAAGCCTACAAATTAAAACGCCGTTTTTTTTTTTTTTTCAGATAAGCCGATCAGCCGGAATCGTGGAGGAAGTGGGAGCTCTTTTTTTCGAGGCGGGGGTGTTCAGAGCGCTGTAACTCTAGTTTGACTGAATATTTTTAGCTGAAATTTTATATTTATACTGTCCAAATATGTGTTAATAAATGATAAAAAACTTGAAGCTCTAAATATTTACTGGTCGTAGAAAAAAAATCCTAAAATATCCCTAAAAAACAGGCCGTCACATAGGAAGACCCCCTTAAGCTACTATTATGTTGTTGACAAAATTTTACTGTAATGTTACTATTACGTTATCCTACACAATTTGTATTATTTTGGATGAATAAATAAATAAATAAATAATAATCTATACATCTATACATATAAATAAAATTGGAGTGTCTGTTTGTAATATTGAAATAACCGTTTTTTTCTACATGCATATGAATATATATGCCAAAATAACATTTTTTATAATTTTTGTCTGTCTGTCTGTCGGTCTGTTTGTTCCGGCTAATCTCTGAAATGGCTGGACCGATTTTGACAGAACTTTTTTGTATAAGGAGTAACTTTTATTTTAGAAAAATAAAGTTAAATTCCACGCGGACGAAGTCGCGGGAACACTTGTTTTTAATAAAAACGGTTTATTCGATAGAAAAAACATCTTTTTTGTGGTACTTAAGGATGTTGAAGCCTGTTGTTTATAATATTGAAATAATAGTTTTTGACTACGAGCATATGAATATAAATACGGTGCATATACTAAAATTTATTTTTATACAATTTTTGTCTGTCTGTCTGTCTGTTTGTTCCGGCTAATCTCTGAAATGGCTGGACCGATTTTGATGGGACCTTTTTTGACAGGTAGCTGATGTAATAAGGAGTAACTTAGGCTACTTTTATTTTAGAAAAATAAAGTTAAAAACCACGCGGACGAAGTCGCGGGAATAGCTAGTGTATAATATATTAGAGATACCTACGTGTTTTTTTTTTATTGATGACTAGCTGTACACGGGATTTCGTCCGTGTGGAATTTAACTTTATTTTTCTAAAATATAAGAAGTTACATTCCACGCGAACGAAGTCGCGTGTACAGCTAATTGTCGGTAGTCTAGCGATTTAGCTAGCACACCGCTTTGATTCCTGCTTGGTGGTCGAGGGTTCGATTCCTCGCACGCTGCAAACATTTGTATTCATGAGTATGATTGTTTGTAACGGTCTGGGTGTTTTCTATGTATAGATAATATATATGATATTTACGAAAAAATAATCCATATATTTATATCAGTTGTCTAGTACCCATAACACAATGTTCAGGTAGCTTAACTTGGGTCTAGATGAAGCTGTGTGAATTGTCCTGAGATTACTATTATTACTATAATAAATCTTTTCAAATCAGCCGATGTTTATTTTTGCCATAATACGTGCTGTTACCATGTGATAATATTACCATGTGATAATATTACGTACTTATTACTGTTTTAAATGTGATGCGTTCATTATTTATATTTCTTTTGAATTAAAGATAAGTGTATATATATATATTACGCGCACTTAGTTGCACACTTATGTTGATCCATCCACGACCCGTAGATACATTTGCTGATTCCACTGTCTCTCTCTTTCTACCACTATAACGGTATCGTGGCGGAACGGCAACATGTTGCCGTTCCGCGTTCCCGCGTGTTCCCTAGATAAAGTATTCGTCGATAGTACCTGTACTCGATATATATTTTTTCAACAATTTCCTGCAATAGTGACTCCGTATCAGCAAAATTTTTTAAATGCACAAAAACTTTTTGGCTCTGAATATATTTGTTGGTTTTTGTAATAATGGCTTGATTTTAAAAACTCCCGCCCACCTGTACTTGAACAAACTCGAGAGTTTACGCATGCGGCCGCATGCGCACTGAGCGCCACTGGCTGTTAGTGCTTGTGTTAAACCTAGGCTACCCAAACTGGAGATTTTTCCTTTTGACAGCCGATTGGAAAGTTGGCCGACCTTTAGGGATACCTACTCTAGACTAATTCACAATAACAAAGACATAGCAAATATTGAGAAATTTTACTATCTGTTGTCAGCTGTCAGTGGATATGCGTTGACGATTGTTAAGTCGATGCCGGTTACATCGGACAATTATGAGATAGTTTGGAGCGCGTTGGTTAAACGGTACGAGAATAAACGGGCATTGGCAACTACTTATCTAGATAATATTTTCAAATTTAAACCATTAGTAAATGAATCAGTCACTGGACTTAATAGTTTTTTACAGACGTTTCAAGAAAATATTAAGGCACTTCAGTTACTTGATATTACCGACTTGTCAGGATTTATGTTATTTTATGTTGCTTTGCGTAATCTCGACTCCGTGACCAGGCGTGAGTTGGAGCGTGAATTGGAGTAGGACGAAATACCTACTGTTAGTGATTTAATTATATTTATAGAAAAGCAAGTGCGCGTTCTCGAGATGTCAATGAGTGCTACAAATTCCACTACTACTAGAAGTGTAACGTACTCAAAAGCCAGTCAAAGGTCAATGACCCTTATAATTCAAATAATTCAAATTTACGACGTACAAGGCCTTCCTTGTCGTCAGCTGTTGTCAATACAAATCACTCTGTAAAATCTAATAAATCCATTGAGTGTTTGTATTGCAAAAAGATGCATTCTATATATCGATGTATCGACTACAACGACCTGACTCCGATGCAGCGTCTCGACAAAATTAAACAAATGAATCTGTGTGAAAATTGTTTACGAGAGCATGTTGTTGACGACTGTCCATCTAAGGTACGTTGTACGATCTGCAAGAAAAAACATCATCATACTTTGCACATTGATTCTGTTGCAAGTTCGAATCCTAGTGCGGTTACATTGACATGTTCAGCGGACTTGACTGTCTTGCTCGGCACCGCAGTTATACACGTCGCAGATTGTTGGGGCCAGTACCAACCCGTACGTGCTATAATAGATAGCGGCGCTATGTCGAGCTACATAACTCAAGACTGTATCAAGCGCCTCGGACTGTCGAGACGTAAATGTAATTTTAAACCTAGCGGTCTAGGTGGTAACCCAGTACGCGAATATGGTTTAAGTACATGTAAAATTAAGCCGCTACACGGTACCGGTCCTATCTTGTCGACCGATGCGGTTATCGTTTCAGCTATTACAGGTAACTTACCTACGGTGCACCTCCCTCAGAGGACTGTTGTGGAGTTTCATCACTTAACGTTAGCTGATCCGTATTTTTATAAACCTACGCCAGTCGAATTATTAATTGCTAGTGATCTATTTCCTTATATCTACAATGGCGATAAGATCTTTTCTCGTTACCAAGGGATGCCTGTCGCGATGGGTTCCATATTTGGATATATTATATTGGGACAGGTTGAGCTTAATCATACGGATACTGTCAGAGACGGAGAACTGCCTGCTGACTCGAGTCGGAGTGGTACGTTTTGCGGACTTTCCATAAATCTCGATCAAATAATGCACTCCTTTTGGGAAGTTGAGAATATGCCGACTGATACACCTCTCCGTAGTCCAGAGGAGGAATTAGCAGAGAGTCTATTCCTGAAAGACTATCGACGCGACGACTCGGGTAGATATGTAGTCAAGTATCCGTTTCGTCCCTCGGTTGAATTAGGCGACTCAAGTCAAATGGCAACTCGTCGATTTCATAACTTGGAATTGAAACTGAAACGAGATCCTGAGTTGAAAGTTCAGTATCATAAATTTATGCGCGAGTATGAGGATCTCGGTCATATGACTTGTCTTGGTGATGTCCAGAACGTGGATTCGAAATATATCATCCCGCATTTTTGCATCATCAAGCCAACAAGCACCACGACATCTCATCGCGTAGTATTTGATGCTTCTGGCAAGACTTCAAATAATAACTCGCTGAATGATTTGGTGTTACCGGGTCCTAAACTTCAAGCTGACATTGTAGAACTATTAATAAATTTTCGTCTTCATGAAATATGTCTCTCTACAGATGTTTGTAAAATGTATAGGATGATAACTCTCGATGAGAGTCAACGTCCGTATCAACATATTTTATGGCGTTACTCTTTAGATCAACCTATACAAATATATCAGTTGAATACATTGACATATGGCGTTGCTAGTTGTCCATATTTAGCTATTAAAGTACTTCATACTTTAGCGCATGACGAAGTAGAGCGATTTCCGTTAGCTTCACCCATTTTAAAACGGGCCTTTTTTATGGATGATTTTCTTTGGTCTGTAGCTACCGTTAGAGAGGCGATAGCGCTTCAGACGGAGCTAATTAATCTCTTGAAGGCTGGTGGTTTTATTCTCCGAAAATGGTCGAGCAATTGTCCTGAAGTCATGGAGCACCTGGATGAAGCTCATCGCGAAACGCCAGTTGCATTCGATGATGATACTAACATGTCTATCAAGGTGTTGGGACTTCAGTGGTTGCCAGCCAGTGATATGTTCACATTCGCTACTACTTCGCCTAATCCTGTCATTTCAAAACGAACAGTCTTGTCCCAGATTGGTCGACTATTTGATCCCCTAGGTTTTGCGGCTCCGTGTGTTTTTTATGCAAAGTGCTTCATGCAGGAACTATGGGCTCGACAATTAGGTTGGGATCAAACCTTACCTTTTGACCTTGAAGCTCGATGGCGGACATATATCAATGAATTATCATTATTGTCAAAATTAAAACATGATCGCCATATCAAGGTATCTCGCTATAATTATTGTCAGATTCTAGGTTTTTGCGATGCCTCGACTCTTGGTTATGCCGCGGTTGTTTATATTCGATCCAATAACGCAGATGGTGAAAGTAAAAACAGTCTAGTTATTGCTAAATCTAAGGTCGCGCCCTTAAAGACTGTTACCATACCCCGTCTAATGGCTGCTCATTTGTTGGCTAAATTAGTAAAATATACCCAGTCAATTCTACATGATCGATTAACAGTTAATGACACCTTGTTGTTTACCGATTCTTCCGTTGTTTTGTCATGGCTCAACACGCCATGCCAAAGTCTCAAAACTTTTGTTTCAACTAGGGTGTCCAAAATTAATGATAGTGTACCTAGTCAATGCTGGCATCATGTGAGTGGTGCTTCTAACCCAGCTGATATTTGTTCTCGCGGTGCCTTACCATCAGCATTAATTGTTATGCATGAATGGCTTAACGGGCCTGACTGGCTTAATCTGGACCCATCACAGTGGCCTATTAAGACTATTGATGAATTTCGTGATGCTAATCCACCTGAACTTAAGAGTACAAAAATGCCAGTACTTATTACCACAGAATCTGACTCAGATAATTTAATTTATAGTCTTACGGAAAGGTATTCAAATTTTGTTAAATTGATCAATATTGTAGCACGATGCTATCTTTTTATTGATAACTGCAAATCCACTGCTTCGAAAAGAAGATCACTTTCAATTGCTGACATTAGAAAGCACATGACAGCTTGGTAAAAGCCGTTCAGACACGTCATTTTTCAAACGATATTTCGTCTTTATCAAAGGATGGTCTTTGTAATCATTCGTTAAGAAAGCTCAACCCCTTCGTAGATTCCAGTCAATTCCTCAGGGTGGGGGGTCGACTTTCTCAATCAAATTTAAGTTATCCGAAGAAGCATCCGTTACTTCTGCCAAAGAGTACAAATTTTACTAAAATTCTTATTGATTATTATCATAAAATTTATTTACATGTGGGTCCTCGAACTCTTCAAAGTTTGATTACTCAAAAATATTGGATCGTTTCAGCACGTAGCGCTATTCGATCACGCACAGTCAAATGTGTAGCCTGTTTTAGGGTGTCTCCTACAAATCGACAGCCTATAATGGGTGATTTACCTAAATATCGCTCTCAAGATGTTCATGTATTTCATACAGTAGGTATAGACATAGGCGGACCTTTTCTTATTAAGGAATCCACCCGTAAGAATGCTCGCACATCGAAGTGTTATTTGTGCGTTTTCGTTTGTTGTTCCACACGTGCGGTACACTTGGAAGTCTTGTCTTCTCTTAGTACAGAGTGCTTTCTCGCATGCTTTGACCGCTTCACGGCAAGACGAGGCCTTTGTAATTCTATAGTGTCAGATAATGGCACTAATTTTATATCTGCTGGAAAACAACTGAAAGAGGTTACAGATTTCCTTAATAAAAATTCGAATAGTCTGTCAGATGGGGTTCTATTTCGAGGTGTAAAATGGAGATATAATCCTCCAGCTGAAAGTAACTTTGGAGGTCTTTATGAATCCGTGATCAAGCAAGCAAAA